ATTAAGAGTATGTATGCTCACTAATGTGCGTTTGTTTTTTCTACATTGGCTAGAGGTATAGGGGGAGGGTTGAGATCTCAAAAAACATGTTTAACCCGCCGCATTTTTGCGCCTGTCCCAAGTCAGGAGCCTCTGGCCTTTGTTAGTCTTGTATCATTTTTATTTTAGTTTCTTGTGTATAATTTGGAGTTTAGTATGACGTCCATTATCACTGAACTAGTATACATATTTGTTTAGGGGCCAGCTGAAGGACGCCTCCGGGTGCGGGAGTTTCTCGCTGCATTGAAGACCCATTGGTGGCCTTCGGCTGTTGTCTGCTCTATGGTCGGGTTGTTGTCTTTTTGACACATTCCCCATTTCCATTCTCAATTTTATTATCAGAGTAAATCGTGTATTCGATTAAAGAATAGAGTTACAGACCTTTTTCCAACTAAGGTGGGAGTGAAACATGGAGATAATTTGAGTCCAAATTTGTTTAAAATTTTCATAAATGACCTCCCTGATTATCTTGAAAAGTCACCTGATCCAGTCTTGGTTAACTCAAAGCCAGTTCATTGTTTATTATATGCTGACGATATTGTCATTTTTTTCTTCCTCGGAAAAGGGGCTTCAGTGTAAACTTGATCAATTAAATAATTATTGTAAAGATTGGTGTATGAAAATTAATCTAAAAAAAAACTAAGATGATGGTATTTAACAAGGCAGGCAGGCATATAAAACATATTTTTTTATTTTAATGACATGTTGATAGATTGTGTTCAACATTGTAAATATTTAGGTATAACATTTAGTGCATCAGGATCTTTTTCCTTTGCTCAGAAGGAATTGTACAATAAGGCACTGAAAGCATACTACAATTAAAATTAAGCTACGAAAGGACTTCTTGTCACTGAATCAAAATATTAAAAACAGCCTCCACGTATTTGGTCATACAATTAAACCCATTCTTTTGTATATTTCGGAAATTTAGGGCTTTTTTAATCCCTTCAAAAAAAAGTTATATTCTCAGACTTCTACAGTTGATCAAGCCTATCCTAAACTTCTTTCTGAAAAATTACATATGATATTTTGTAAACTATTACTAGGTGTTGGGAAAAGAGCAACAAACTTTGCCACTCTTTCAGAACTTGGGAGATTTCCATTACATTTTGATATCACCAAATCTATGATCAGATACTGGCACCGGCTTGAAAATTTGGGTTCATCCTTTCCATTACTAAAAGATGCATATTTAGAGTCAAAGCTATTATTTGAATCAAAAATTCCCTCTTGGTATGGATCTTTAAACTATTTACAAAAACAAATTAATGGGGTTGACAGTCTAGCCTTTGCAAGCAACTTTAGATTCAAAATTTTAATTAAAATGTTTTTTTATTAGCACTATGAAATACAGTGGAGAAAACAAATGCACAATTGTGCTGATGGAAAGCTTTGTAGCTATAGCACTTTTAAGACTCATTTTGGTCTTGAAAGATATCTTACTTTATTACAATCACCTGAGCAGAGGAGAAATTTCACTCGATTGCGTATTTCTTCTCACAGACTAACTTAAAGAATTGAACAAGGTCGCTATCAGGGTACTCTCCGACAAGACAGAATATGTCTCAGGTGCACCTCAAATGAAGTTGATGATGAAAAACATTTTTTATTTTCGTGTACATCATATCAAGATAAGAGAAATTGTTTAAATTCCACTATTAACTCACTATGCCCAAACTTTACGCATTTGATTCCTAGCCAAAAACTGATATGGCTTCTTAATGTAGAGAATCTTGATATCTTGATATCTGTCTGTGAGTTAGTTGATGAAGACAAAATATAACTTGAAAGATAAATATTTAAATCAGGCTTTCTGTACTAGGCACGAGGTTGGCATGGTGGGGTACAGGACACATCGTATAAGTTCTATTACCTTTCTGTTTGTGATATTTTTTTATTAAACTGGTAATATTTTATCTTTTCGTAATATGTGCACTTTGGCATATCAATTAGCATTGTCCCTTGGTGCCTCTTGCAGTTGTGTCACTTTAAATAGTACTGACTCCTCTGCACCAGGCACGAGGATGACATACCAGTTATGTGCAACTTCTTACAATATCTTACCATATCATTAATCATGTTAATGTCCCGATACACATTTTAATATGCACCCACCATGCCATATAGCACCGTTCCTTGGTGCCTCCTGCAGTTAAGCTAGATATATGTATAGCCTACTCAAAGAATTCTTTTTTGTTACTTTCTAGAGGTGTGCCTGAGACGAAAGTTTTATATATACTCCTATATGTATACGAATATGTGAAAACTATTGTTTCTTATTTGTGTTTGTAACTATGTATACTGTATTGTTTATTATATTTGTAAAAATAATATTATAATGATATTATATTATGCTCCTTGTGAGCCCATTTGATGGAAATAAAGCATCTCCTTCTTCTTCTCTTCTTCTTCTATACGAGCATATGTAGAGACACGTCGTTATTGATGTATACTGTATTAGTTCGCTGACGTCTTCTATGGCTTTAAGTTGATACCACAAAAAGACACGTACGCCTCATCTTCTTTTATTGATATTTATTTCGTAATGTACAACGTACAAAATAATGGTTTTCTGCCTTTTCGTGTGCTCATTGTCTGTTGATTTATTGGGTTTTTTTTAGCTATTGGTAAGGTGTAATCTTTTGCGCATGTACATTACAGGTAACTCCTCCCTAAATCTGTCTGGTCCACATGTTCGCATTTTCTTGGTGAGAACATGGCGAACAGATCGTTTAAAAAATCTGTTAAAAAGAAAAAATGCAGAAAACGGGACAAATTAAGATCCCGAATAAAAAACAAAAAAGCGACTCGAGCTGAGTCTAGTAGAAAATTCGTTCTGAACTTGTCAACAACGTCATTGACGAATAATGAAATCCTCCTATTAGGAAAGGGAATGAAATTTATCCCTAATCCAAAACGTAATAATATACGAAAACAAATATTAATGGATTTTACGAGCTAACTAGAAAAATGAGATGTAAATTCCATTACTGAGGAAAAAACAACAACAAACATATTCATCCATTATATTTGCAATCGGGGCATATACCACTCATGGGAAATGTTGCCCTAGAAAATTACTTAATTGACACAAAACTGGAAGTTAAACAGTTTAGAGACAATTTGTCAAAATTAGAACGCAAAGCTCTAATAGAACTAAAACATAATGATAGCATTTATATATCTAAAGCCGATAAAAATAACACAACAGTGATTGTAAATAAGATCGATTACATCAAAGCAGAAACAGAAGTCACCTTAACAGTAATCATTACTTGAAAATAAATGAACCAACTACTAACGTTGTTGTCAAATCTATAAAAGATATTGTTGAAGGAAAAAAGAAATAGATTCACAAACTTATAATTTCTTGAAGAATAATAACGAATCAAAACATGGACACATGTACCTTCTTCCAAAAATACATAAAATCAATCTAGAAATAATTAATGAGGCATTTCGAGATGGTCAAATAGTTGGAAACATAAACATTCCTTACCGACCAATCATCAATAAGTGTAGCTCTCCCACGAGACGCATTGAAAGATTACTGGATCTAATTTTAAAACCATTATTGAAGAGGCACAACTTTTACATTCAAGATACAAAAGACTTCATTAATAAAATAGAGTCACATGAGGTCAAGAAAGAGTGCATTCTTATTGCCTATGATATAACGTCAATGTACACAAATATGAACATTGATAACTTAGAAGAAACAGTTATCAATGCATTAGAATCAATTGACACACAAGAATATGCTTTAAAAATTCCCAACAAAAAAGATTTAACGGCATTTGTTAAATCAATACTAAGAAACAATGAATTTGAATTCAATGGACAATTATACAAACAAATTATAGGAGCGCCTATGGGTGGTATATTTTCTCCGACATGCACAGATTTACATCTGTCTGTACTATTAATAAATATCTTAGATAAATTCCAATGGAGAGAAAACATCAAATTACACTGTCAATACAGAGATGACGGTTTTATGGTCTTCACAGGCACAGTAAAACAGGTTGAAGATTTCTTTAACATAGCGAACAAAATTGACCCTCTGCTTAAATTCACATTTGAGGTGTCTAGATCTAGTATGAACTATTTAGATACCGAAGTGTACAAAGGTGAAAGATTCCATAATAATAACATCCTTGATGTTAAATCACATATAAAAAAAACTGAAACGTATCAATATTTACCAATCGCTAGTGCACATCCGAAACACACATTCACAAGTATTAGAGTGTGTGAATCTATACGTCATATTAGAAATAATAGTGACATCATTGGATTAGATAGACAGTTAACTAACTAACAAAATAAGTTAGTTGAAAGAGGATACTGTAAAAATAAAACAGAGAATGTTATTAGAAACGTTACTGAAGGCCAATAGGACAAAGAATGTTCCACTCACTCTCATTACTAAATATAATCCAATGGTAAAAAAAACTTAGTAAAGTTATAAGAAAACATTGGAGCAATCTGCAAAAAGACAAACAATGCAGTGAAATCTTCACCCAGGTGCCTATCATAGCGTATAAACGTAACAAAAATATCAAAGAATACCTTGTGAAATCAAGGAAATAGTTGGGAGTCTTTTGAAAAGGGACCCATGCTTTAATAGTATAAGCAAAAAATCCCGAAACACTGTTAGTTATTATCTTAATTATAGGCAACAAACTTTCATATAAATGAAATTAAATAAAACGGTGTAAAGTCTTGAGATTTATTACGTATGTTGGTTGAAGGAACCGCATTTAATTATAATTTTTTCATTATTGCATAGCAAATGCATTGGAAATGAAATTAAACTGCTATGATTTTTTGTCTTTATTTTGTTAAGTTATTATCTGATAAAACTTGAAAACATATGACAATTTACAGTATAGTGTATTTTCACAGGAAATTAAACAAATAGTTTATTGTTTCATACATTTCCTTTCTTAACGAAAACAACTTAAGTGGTATAGTAGTTGACATTTGCAAACTTTTCAATTGGACAGCATTTTGTTTTACTTAGGACTACTTAACAGCGAGTAATAGTTGATGTGTGAAGAAATGATCCAATGTAAAGAAACTGAAGCACGTTATCGTTTATTCTTATGTCGTGTATAAGCTATGAAGAACATGATTAACAATGCCGTGGTTCTTGATTTATAGCATACTATTTCTGGTGAATTTTGATTTTGAAAAAGGAGAAAAAATTGTTAGTAAATGCAAGATCTTGTATGATATTTCTCCTACAAGTGTAATCTGTGGTGTGACGAGCAAAGATCAATGGTCCCTGGACGATGTTCGTGGACTAATGAACAATACAAAGAAGTTTTACTTGGGAAACAATCAATTTACATTGGATATAGAATGTCATGGTGGTGGGAATATAAGTATTAGGCAACCAATAAAATTACCGGGAATGACATCATTGACCGTTAGGAACTGTTATATCACCGATTATTACGATTATGATTTTTCACAAGAAGTTTTGTCGATCAAATCGGTACTGCAAAATTTGAAATTTACCAACTGCAAAATAGAGCACAGACACTCGGTTCATGTGAAACACATTCAGAAAAATTTTGAAAAGTTATTGGCATATGAGAAATGTCAAATATCCAACACTTTACGTAATTTTATTTTTCAAAATAGTTCTTTCATTGATCTTGAACGGTCTTTTACCTCAAAGATACCAAAAGAAGAGGAGTATTATAAAAATGAACTAAAACGGCATGAGAAATGTGCTCATAACAATCTCACGTATATTGAAATGTCATCTCTGGACAGATTCATCGCCGAAGTAATGATTAACGACTTATTACAAAACGGCATATTTAACTCCTTGAATGTAATTAACATGACTAATAATGATTTAGCTCTGGCTCCGAGTAGTTTATTCACAGACTCTATGTACGAAACTGTTGATAGATTGGAGCAAGTTGATCTTTCCAGGAACAAGATTGAGGACATCAGCTTTCTTTTCATACCTATTATGTTCAATGGTCAACTGAACGTTGATTTGACAAGAAATATAATAACTGAAATATCCAATCAAGACATGAAGAAGTTAAAATCGTTTTCTCGCTTAAGAAATAGAGTTAACATAAAAGAAAACCCGCTTATTTGTACGTGTAACCAAAAATTATTTTTTGAATTTATTGCTGAGATTAATGACAAGAACTGGAAGCAATATACATATCTTAAATCAATGCAGTGTTTAGATCAAGAAAGCGAAACAAAAATGAAAAACATATCTGAATATGCATACGAAGGTATGTGTAAGAAAACTGATAGTTCAGGTGTCAGTGAGGGAATCTTTGAAAGGAATAAATATTCTATTATCGGATTTTCGCTTGTTATTCTTGCCAGTGTTTTCGCGTGTCTACTTTATAAATACAAATATAGAATTGCACAACTGTACAGAGCAAAAACTACCGTTCAGTGTCATTGTCCGGATAACCCCAAACATTACGACGCTTTTATTTCATACAGCTCGTCAGATGAACGATGGGTTTACGACATTTTGTACAAGAGATTGCAATCGTTTTTACCAGATGTCAGCATTTGCCTGCACCACAAAGATTTCATACCCGGCGCATGCATAGCAGAAAATATCATCAACAGCGTTGAGAATAGCAGATATACACTGCTAGTTCTGTCATCAAATTTCATCGAAAGTGAATGGTGCCAAATGGAATTTCAGAAGGCTTTTCACCAAACATTGAAACACCGACGCCACTTATTAGTGTTGCTCATTGAAGACATTGACTTTACTTTGTTAGACTATGATCTTAGATTTTTCCTGGAAACCTATACATATCTCAAATATTCCGATAAACTATTCTGGCAAAAACTTACAGGAACATTACAGATGTCAACAAAAGGCGATAAGACAAGACAGATGTCAACAAAAGGTGATAAGATAAGTCACTCGAGTAATCCAGCGTGTAAGCAACTTCTTCCACCAGACTATGAGTCGTGTGTTTAAAATTAAAATGGATTAAAACTGATACCGGTGATGTCTATAAAAAGTTTTTATTGGTTTATTTGTATGGTTATATGTCGCTGATTACTTTTTATAGTTGTGAAATACATTGTGTGCCTCTCATGTCACACATGTATATATATATATATAGTATACCCTTTGCTATGAGGACAATAGCAAGTTTATTGTCTCCGAGACACAACTATTTCCAGATGCGACGGCTAACCGCAAAAACAGGCACTCCGTTCTTTAATTTGTTGGTTAACAGACTTTTATTCGGAAAAGTATGAGTCGATTCGTCGGGGAAAAATCAAATCATTTCTATTCATGTATACAATACTATGCTGATATTTGTTTTATAAATTTTATATTTCTGTGGTCATGAAAATTGAGTTGCACAAATTTGTATGAAGTGAACGTTTTAAAATACAGTAGACATTAGGGTTTTGGTCTGGTTTTGCTGCTGTTTACTCAACATGGGAATGCCATAGTGTGAGCGGGTCATATTGTCCAATGAACACATGTTCTTATTTACAATTATCTTGAAAACTATACTAAAGGAAAATTATAAACAAACAATCAAGATCTACAATTAAGTCAACATATCTCAAATTGTTGATTGACATTAAATGGTGATTTTTACACATTTTGCATTTTTTCTTCAACAGCCTGAAAATTTATGATATGAAAACAACAAATATAATCAGCAAGATAAGATGTAGAAAAATAAATACACGTGATCAAAATAATCAATGGACTCTTTATCAGAGTTATTGCCCTTTAACGACAATGTTAAACCGTGTTCATCATTCTTTACTAGTAACTGTAATAAAGAAAACTGGTCGGCAAAAGAAGAAAAAGAAAATTAAGCAACACGAAAATTATCAGTTGAATCGATTCACACGTCTGTTATTGTCTAAAATGAATATACATTCACTTTTTTTAGAAATGTTCTCGTCGTGGATCAATCCTGGTCACACTGATTGAGTGCGTGAAAGATAGCTGTGATTGTTGGTCATGTATTAATGATGCATGTTTTTGCTATGTGCGCGTTTCCTTGCACATGGGAGCCTCTGTCTTGCTTTAATTTTCACTTGTCACACAGTTATTCGACAATTTTACAACTTGTTAATGCTTCCTCCTTTGCTGTTGACTTTATGCATGGTGTAGCTGTTTAGCAAAATGTTTCTTCGCGCACCTATTGATAATTCAAACATTATACATTTCAACATGTTTCAAAATATTTTACTTATGCTTAACAATGCCTTTATTTTCAAAATGACCTTGCTACAAAGTATTCCATATGTGATGATGCAAGTTTTTTCTAATATGATTTGTGAATTCTTTTTTTATTCAAATGTATCATTAGACTTTAGTGTTCCCATAAGTGGACGATCGTTTTTAAAGCATGCTGTATGTTATATTTTAAAGTTTTCAGATTATTTAATGTTGTCAAAGTTTCATCTAAGAATATTGAAAAGAATTTTCACCAATATTTTATTAAATAGTTTGTTTACATGTTTCTAGTATAGTCATTGACATTATATATTCTACGTACAAGCAGTTACAATTAGTGCAATTTCCCGCACAGGATTAGATAATGTAAAGGAAGTCCTAACAAAACGGAAAGCATTATCTTTTGAACACGCCGATATAATTGTTGTATAATAATGTTACCTGGCTGCAAGCCATATGTCGTAGAGCTCCAAATAAAACCCTTTCCCTTTGAAAGTAACTCTGACAAAAACTTATTTAAAAACGTCCTCGATCGAACAAATATTTTTACTCATTTTAACGAAACCAACGAAAAGAATTAAGACTAATCAGATTTATTTTATGGTCGGGTGTCAAAATAACGTCTAGACAATTTGTTTATTCTTTGTTCCCTTTAAGCTCACTTGAACGCAGGCTGTTTGGTTTTAACTAGCCTGGGCGAACACCAATCAGTTTATACTTACCTTAGAGAAGGCTATGTGAACTTATGTCTTCATTTGGTGTCCGCCGTAAGCCTTCGTCTGTCTTTCTGAGAGCCACTCGCCAGAATAAAATCAAACAGCAGAAACAATCCTTTCTTATTGTAGTGTTGTTTCTTCTGGTCCCACTGACTTGTCAATAAACATGACTGAAGGACTGGACTTTGAAAAACAAGGTCTTTTCTAATATCTGAATGACTGGACTTTGAAACACTAGGCCTATTCTAATATCTGAATGACTGGACTTTGAAAAAGTCTACACTAGAACGATTGGACTACTTGAAGGTATATATTCCTTTGGACACAAGCACATGTCAAACATTACTTTGAAATACATTGGGAATCTATGTAGAGGTAGTTTTAACAGGAAAGCAACTCGGATAAGAACACAATAAAATATTTAATGTGTTCTTTATATTTGTAAAAATTTTCTTTTTTATATAACGTTTTTAAGCGAACTAGAAACAGAATTAAAAAATGGACAAAGAAGTGGTTAATATGTCGTAAAATTATTTACACATTAATCTGCATCGTATCCGCATCGTATCCTTATACAACAAAAAGGTTTGTATTGGATCGTCTAATAAATCATTAGCATTACAAACTACAATGTAGGGTGATTGTTACTTTGCACTTATGTCTTGAGGATAAAAGGAACTGGAATCATCCGACGTAGGAAATCAGGAAACGGTATTGTACGCAAATAAACAAATCTTTCATTTTATATATAGATATAGAGGAAATTAAGCAATCGTTAATTATATAACAATTGCGATTTTATAAAAAAAAAAAAAAACATCTACATTTGAGGTATAACATAGTAAAATAAAATGAGAATGAAAAAACACTCAAGTTCAAGATATCGTACATGGCTGTGTCACATATTTTGATAATATATTACTTTCAACTTTGAAATGTAATTAAAAATCGAACAAATAATGCATCTATCTCTTTTTTTTTCTGAAATATTACTAAACGAATTCTTTCAAAATAGGCGAACATTTGTATAACAAGAACATATAATCGGTAAAAACAGTGGTCTTAAATCTGTATTTAAATCATAAAATTTTCAAATTCAAATTTGGAATTTTTGTAAATTGGATATACGTTTTAGTATTTTAGTACCTGCGAATATCAAATTTAGCACAATTTATGTATTCAGAATTTTCGTCATGTCAGGCTCGTGAATTTGAATCAAGAAAGTTTATCAGGTATTTGTGCAATTATAACAGTCAAAAGAATACATTCAAATTCAAGGGAACTAACTTTAAATAAATCAAATACAAAGAACCATAATTGTCCTTTTGTAGATTTGTATATTCCTGTTTCACACGTGAAACTCTATGCAAAAAATTACGATAAAAGAGATGAATTTTCGTTTCCTATTGTCAATTTTCCTTTTTTTTTGGGCTGTAAAGTTCTTTGGTATATATTCCAACTAGATCGCTATGCCCGTATTTGTAGTGACGTCTTTTATTTCAATGCCCGTAATCAATGTTTAACTGGTAATTATTGAGATTGGGATTTCGTTATCACAAATTACTAGTACTTTAATCCTTACTAAAATCTTTTCCAGATACAAAAAAATGGGTTATTTTGGCTGTACCTAACATATTAGAAACGAGATATCACATCCTTATTTTACGGTGCTGTTGTTAATATAGCCCGTATATTATATACGATCCATGAAAACTTTTTCATCCTTTGAATAAACTTGAAATGAAAGGCTACCAATTTAACACTGTAGTTAGATCTTTGAAAAATAGTTTATTTATTAGTTGAAATTATCTTTGAACTAGCTTTTAGTAACTGCAAGTGCGCTTAGATCTTCTTTTTTGTGTGCTTCATGCCAAGCTATTTCCAACTGATTTTTAGTTTGTTCTTATGCTGTGCTGTTTAACTACTTTCACAGGTAAGGGGAGGATTGAGCGCGCAAAAACATTATTCATGTGCATGTTCAAAGTCAGGAGCCTTTTATCTAGTGGAAGTCGTTTGTTCATGTTTGTCATGTTTGTTTTAAGTTTGGTGCTTTGTAAAAAATATCAGGCAGTTGGTTTTCTGTTTTGAATTGTTTCACTTTTTGTAATGTAGGGTCCATTGATACCTTACTCATCAGTATTGGCTTTGCGCTTTTCTGAAGGTCGTAGGGTGACCTATTGTTATTTACATACATGTCATTTGGACTATGGTGGATAGTTGTCTCATTTGCTCTCATATCACCTTATTTGTACATTAATTACCTTACAGAAGACACGCGAAGCATGTATTGGTTACTTTTATTTAAATTTAAAAAATGCTGATAAAAGAATTTCAAAGATTGTGCAAAATATACATCCCTTCTTGAGAAATTTATTCATTAACTTTGAGTTTTCTTTCTTTGTTTCATTCTTTGGAATATTATATATATATATATATATATCAATAGTTTTTTTTAATTTCAAAACTTTCTCATTAATATATTTAAAACATCAAGATTTCGTTTTTTATAAGACAAACTGTCATAAGTGTTGCCTGTTATGGTAGTTTACCGAACTAATAAACTATCTCGTAATATATCACCGTATATTGTATCTTAATTTTACAAGAAATCTACATGATACAATAAACATTTGGTATTATGTATGCAGGTACATTTGCATGTATTTGATAAATTACGTTTATTTGGATTGTTGAAATCTGAATATAATCGAAACCAAGACAGCTTAGTTGTCGTTAATTCATTAGTTCTTTCATCTTCGGTTCCCCTGCGTTATTTAAAGGTCACCGATTTGTGTTTTTTTTTAAATGGCAGAAGTTCCTATATGACTTATATTGTGTAGCCTGCAAAGGGTACATGTCCTAACGCTTAATTTTTATTTTCTTAAATTCTTTAATTAATTTACCTTTTTGTCAAGGGACGAATGATAAGAAATCGACAAAAAAGGATTTTAAGCACAAACCAGCAGACAAGAACATGAAAAGGACTCAGTGTATGTATGTGGAAAATTGATATCAGAAGATTTTGATGCTGTATACAATGATCTTGTTATATTACACCTCAGTAAGTTATTCTTGGAATTATTTGATTCCATTATATATATATACATATATGTGTTTGCGTAATCTTTTTAATTTTTTGGTTTGAAAAAATAATTTGGCCCAGAGAAATAAAAGTTTTCTCTTATCTCAGGGGCATGACAACAGCAAGATTTTTTTCAATTGTCCGTCGCTGACTCTTTGAAGTGACTTAAAACGTGTTTTTATCTTTCAACCTCCCATTTGGAGCCCCAGATATTATTCCTCTCATGCGTTTAATCATTATTGTCTCAATCCAATGACAATCGTTATTACCTCAGTCAATAAATGAGATCACGTCAGTACGCCATGCAATACCGGTCGTCTAAGCTGTTATGACCATCATGCTATAATATTTTGATTAAAAAAAACACATAGTATACATGCATTCCTTAATTTATTCACATTTTAATATTATCTAAATAAATAATAGTTACAAACAGGACTATATTTAGTTGTAACAATTGAGAAAAGAAAAGACAAATTGATTTTATCGTAAGCATAAAAAGAAGTTGCACGCGATGTCGTGTAAACTATTCCTCCTCATTTTTTAGATGTTGAAGAAAAATTTCATGCTCAATGGGAAAACAACACAACTTTGAAGATTCAAAAAATACTGACGAAGCCATGCAAAAGAATAAACGGAAGACGAAAAAGACAAACAAGTCTACAAAACACTACATAACACACCTAACGACTGATCAACATGACCCCCACACAAAACTTGTGGTGATCTCATGTGCTCCGGAAGGGGAAGCACAGCCTGCTCTACTAGTGGCAACCTCCATGTTGATAAGGATAAGGACAAATTCGGCGATTAATATCTTTCGGTGATTTTGAAATCGATGATATGAGGTCGGGATTGTGGTTACGATATTTGGAACATATCCGTGGTCATCTCTGAAACAGGTGTTTTACGAAGGGATGAGTTCAACTTTATTACTTATAGCCCTTGGTTCAATAGCTTCCTTATAAACAGCAACCCTATATTAAGGAAATCATGATAGGAAGCCCAAGTTCTGAAAAATCGTACCACCTGTGATATACATACGTGATATGCAGCCGAAACTTGAATTTTGCTACATAGAAATGGAAAGGTCACAATGCGGAAACTGAAATCCGCCCGTTTGTTGTAAAGTTTTGTACCCTTATTGTTAATTTCTAGATTTAGGTCAAGATATGAGGCAGACTTAACTGCATCTGTGGTGCCCTTTATTTCAAGTTCGATGAGATAGGTTCGTTCAAAATAGTCATCTAATGTTGAAGTATCTAGTAAGAGGACATAATCTATATAGCGGAATGTGGAGTTAAAACTGAAAGCTAGCCTCTTTTCATTTTTCATGAGGAGCTACTATATAGAGTCTGTCTCATATGAATAACATTATAATTAAAGTAATTTTTCCAACAGTATATAAAATCCATGCAAAATGTCAATTAGCATTTTCGTATAACCGGGAAACAACTTTGAATTTTATAAATCTAATACATTGCAAAACTTTTTACAAAATGATTGAATCCCAATAATAACCAGTAGTTCAAGAATAAAAAAAAATTGTTGTTAAAATGTCTTTTTATATTGAAATATTTGGCTTTTGGGAGTCGAAATTTATGTTTAAAGTTTGTACGATTTTGAACGTAAGAATTGAATCATATTTTGTTTGCAATACAGATTAACCCTTTAACATTTAAGGACTTTGACGTATTCAACCCAAATAAACGTTTTCCAACATTTTAATAAAAGCTTATATAAAGGCCAATTTGGACTCATTTGAAAGATAATTAATTGAATTTTTCCAGAAATTTAAAGAAAATATTCCTTTCCTTTATCACGTGGTATATCTCAAAAAGTCACACGATTTGCTGAAAAAATGGGGGGAAATGTACAATTCAATGGGAAACGATATCGTACAGGCATTTTGTTACCAAAATAGGATATATTTTTAGTGCAAAACCAATGCACGAAGTCTTGTGGAAACGAACTAGGTGTCAAAACAATGATTTACTTTACAGTATTCTATGAATACATTCTTTTAAAAAATAAAAACAAAAACAATTTTCACAGATACAATTCTTGTCAATATGGGGCAAATTGAATGATAGTAGTTTCGGGCACATTAAATTATGAAGCTGGTATTTCGAGTATTAGTTTGAGCCCTTAACCACGTCTGAACGTCAAAAAATGTCAAAGATACAAGTCTTCATGCAAACTAGTTGTCCAAAAATTTGACTGATCAGAATGTTAAATGGTTAAACAAAATTTAATCATAAGAAGTGACTATTACTTCAAACGTATGAGGACAGATTTTACTGGAATCAGTTTTTATTCCAATATCATTTTCTATAGAAATTGCATCATTTGTGGAAATGGTCTCCATAGATTGACGATTGTATTGAGACAGACTAGGGTCTGTACAAGTTTTATGTACTTCCAAATGTGTTTTCCTATTTAAATCCTCAGAAAGGTCATTCAAACTTTTCGATTTAGACACTTTTGTTTTGAAATTGTCTTGAGAATTGGTATTTGAAAAGCTCCTTGATCGTCGCCTGCGTATTGTCTGCCACATGAAAGCCATAAGTTGCGATGGTCTATTTAGATATTCAGGTCGATTATCTATTTTGTCTCTTTTTCTGTTTTTTTGGTGATTGGATCTGTTCGATTTTATTGATTTTAAAGATTTCATTGAACGGTTGCTAGATCTCCGCAATAGAGCACCAAAACTAAAATCTGTAAATAAACTTTCACGTGGTTGGCTTATTTCAACAGGTAGATTTAGTCTGTCGTCGATTGGCTGCATATCAATATTAACGGAACTTCCTCCACGACCGTTACCACTAGAAAATGAAACCGGAACTTGACTGAGAATTTCCTGTTTATCGGCTGCCGATCTGCAGCTGCAATAAAAATGAAAATAAACTTGCTAAATTTCTATTTACTAATACTTTATTCTATTTCAACAGCTACATATATCTTCATATCCCCGTTCAAAAGGGAAAGGGATATACGATGCAGACTTTTCAAAAAAAAAAGAAAGTGAAAGGCGTGGACAGGTAACTACGTAAATAACAATAATTCACTTATTAAATTATTTCCCCCTTGTAACCGCTGGGGTAATTAAACTGAACTGTCCTCCTTGCAGCGTCTACATTTCAAATTGTATCCATTGATGTCTTTGGCTGACCACTTTGGAAGCCAGCTTGAGCAAATGCACATACAAAATGAAAACAAAAAACATTCACCGATTATTGAAATTGTTTAGCCCGTTTATGTTTTGTCGGAATAGATAATAAATAAATACAGATAGATAACACAAAACCGATTTAACACGAAGAATATTTCAAGAGTTCTGTCACCTATTGCCATATATCTGACATATAGTGGTCTTCAAAATTTCAAGAACTTATTTATTTCAGTTACGCAGTTTATCTTTCAATATGATAGAACCTTGACAAAACCCTCATTACTTTTAAAGTTATTTTTTAAATAGATACGTTTCAAATTTTCAACTATTTGTAACCTAAAATTGAGAATTTAAAAAAGCATACAAGACTAACAAAGGCCAGAGGCTCCTGACTTGGGACAGGCGCAAAAATGCGGCGGGGTTTAATATGTTTTGTGAGATCTCAACCCTTCCCCTATACCTCTAGCCAATGTAGAATAAAGAAACACATAGCAATATGCACAGTAAAACTCAGTTAAAAAGAAGTCCGAGTCCGATGTCAGAATAGGTAACAAAAGAAACTAAGCAAAATGACAATGATACATAAATTAACAAAAGACTACTAGCAGTTACTGACATGCAAGCTCCAGACCTCAATTAAACTGTTTGAAAGAGTATGACTTCATCATATGAAAATCAGGTACAATCCCTCTCGTTAGGGGTTTAGAATCATACCATCATAAAATATATGAAAAGAACATAACCCGTATCATGCCAACAACTGGTTTTAGAATAAATGTGTTTATTTCCGATGCAAAGACCCTATGAGTGAATCAATATTAATACCAAAATATGCAATCCTTAATGACCTGACAACAGTATCGTAATTATATCCCTTCCGAATAAGTCTGTTTAAAGGTTTGGTTAGCTTTTGAGGTGAATGCCGACATTTTTGTGCTTTGTAAAGAATATTACCATAAAATATTTGATGTGAAATACTTGAACGTATGAGATGTCTGCATGTTGATTTATATTTACGAATGATGTCCTTGTACCGATGATAAAATTTAGTAAATGTTTTGACTAGTTTGTGATATCGAAAACCTTGGTGTAATAATTTTTCAGTAATACAGAGATTTCTTTCGTTGAAATCAAATACGTTGTTACATACACGAGCGAATCGAACAAGTTGAGATATATAAACACATTAAGATGGTGACAAGGGAACGTCACCATCTAAAAATGGATAATTAACAACAGGAAATGAAAAATCATCTCTTTTATCATACATTTTGGTATTAAGCTTCCCGTTAAAGATATAGATATCAAGATCCAGGAAAGGGCAGTGTTCATTGTTAGTATTAGCATTATTTATAGCATGCTGAGATAGTGAGAATAAACTTAGAAAACAGATATACACTATAACTCTACAGCTACATACCGTTTTATACAACAAACTAAAACGACAACTGTTAGTGCTACGAACACAACTCCGCCAAATGATCCGCCAATTATTATACCTAAAAATCATTTGTATTATTATTATTGATTTTTTTTTTTGGAAGTATTATTTTAGTTGTGCTATATTTTGTACTAACATTATAAAAAAGAGGCGGAAGATACTAAGGGGACATTCAAAACTCATAAGTCGAGATAAACTGACAACGCAATGGAAAAAAAGGAAGGACGATGAAAAGACAAACCACTACATCTTAAATTTAAGACTGAGCAACAGGAACCCTTCCAAAATCTTGGAGAAATATCAGGTGCTCCGGAATAGTAAGCATATCTTGCTCCACTAGTGGCACCCGTCATGTTGCTAATGGTAAGTACAAATTCGGAGATGTATCATTCGGTTTTTTTTAAATTGTCATCTTATAATTTCCACTGACAATGCCATGTCGTTATATTAAACCATATGTATATATTTAAATATGGGTTGGACGAAGCTTTTCGTTAATCTTTTTCATCGCTAAATATTGATAATGTTTGTACTTTTTCAGTTTAAGTAAAAATTACAAATACATTTTATTCACTAGCAGTCATCCATTTCAAACCATGGATTGTCCTACGCTTATAGGGGAAAATGTTTCATACATGGTCACATATGATTAAATACTACTAAGCATAACACAACGATAATTAATTCTTTGATAAATGCTAATGTTTTCAACTTCTTTTCATCCGACAGTTTGTAAAATATATTTATTTACCATGATAGCTTTATCATGAAGCTAAATATCACTGATTGATTCGTGCATCACAGATGAGTGTTATATAGACGCGCGTCTGACGTACTAATAAGCCTGGTACCTTTGATGAATGTTATGTAGACGCGCGTCTGACGTACTAAATTATAAGCCTGGTACCTTTGATGAGTTATAAATAAAGCTAACGTAAAATCAACAAGGACTAGACGGAATAACCAATCAAGTCGTTTCTCTGTGAAAAGGTACGATTTGAATAAATATAAACCTGAAGAAAAGTGTGTTTCCTTGCCTAAAGAATCTTCATTAGTGTCACTTTTTGATCTGTATGTTCCATTGGTCGATGATTCTACCCAAGAGTGTGAAGAAATGTCTGAAGACCAAAGTTCTGTAGTGTTTATACTAAATGTCTTTGAGGAAGTTGATGTTGCTGTTGTTTTTGCCGGTGTTGATGATGATGATGATGATGATGATGATGATGATGATGATGATGATGATGATGATGATGATGATGATGATGATGATTCTGTTGTTGTTACTGCTACTACTAATGATGATGATGCTGATGATGATGGTGAGGACGACGATGAAAACGACGATGTCGATGATGATGCTGATGCTGATGCTGATGCTGATGCTGATGATGATAGTGAAAACGAAGACGGCGATGATGATGATGATGATGATGACAATGAAGATGTATCAGGATAATATTCTATGGAGGTAGTTTCGATCGTATCCTTTACTGTCCACGAAAATGTCATTGGTACTGTAACAGTTGTAAGGAACTCATCAGGAACAGTAATTGACGCTTCGTCTGTAAAAATAATAAAGCTTATAAACAAACATATTATGTTACCATTTGTGCCTCGTCTTGTATAATGCTTTATCTAAAACTTTTTTGGAAGTGCACAGTACGCATTTATTTTGAAATATATCTTTTTTCATTAACACACCAATACCAAACGATATCATCAAGTGAAAATTCTAATCTTATTTGCATCTGCATTTAAGTGATTGTTGTATACCCTATTTTTAAACTGCGAGTTTTTATATTAAATGTTTTAGATAATATAATGTTTACCACAATCATCCTTGTTCTCTATACCCGTGTCTGAAGTGACTTTTTAGATTCAACGTAGAACTGGTAAATTATCAAGTCAGTGATTTAGTTCGTTTTATACGTCAACTTTCTTAAACACAAAACACTAGGTTGTAAATAAGACATCTGATTGCTCTTTTTGTTGCTTCAGCTTAAATAAAGCCTCCTTTTGTAATGAAAAGGTAAATATTCTAGATATACTTACTGGAACTTTGATGAGATGATCAAAACTTTACATCTTCTACTTGCCAACATTGAGGTACGTTTCGGCAATAATGTCTACATGTTAAAAGTATTCCCGTGTGCATCAATTGCACCCCGGTAACAGCAGACTTGTTCCTGTATTGTTATGAATAATGGTATATTGTCTAACTCAGTAAGAACTGTCGAAATCCTTTTGATTAAAACATTTAATCACACTTACCGTTACCTAAATGATACTTTTGCTTTCAATTAAAAGAATTCTCTACTTATAATGCGGAAGATTAGAAACTGACTTTAATGTCGACGAAACACGCGTCTGGAGTAACAAATAATAAACGTGATTTTTCTAATGATTTTAACCACTGTGTCGATGTCATTGCCAGTGGTCGTTTCCTCCCCGAACGTATCAACAGCCCAGAAATCAGGACTGTGTTTACATGCATTACCAATGATATAGTCAAGTTCTGTAAATTTTCTGTTTACAACACTTTGAATTATTCGAAACAGGCAGAGATGGCCTCAGTCGTATTTAGCACTACTTTTGGGGGGTTTTGGTTTTCAATGCTCTTCAACTTCGTACTTAAATTGGCTGATTTGATTTCCGCTGTTGATCCTTATAAAAACGAAACTCGAGTCTGGCGTAAGCCTGGTATATCACGAGTTTAACAACCACTGTGTCGATGTCCTGCTGGTAGACGTTTCGTTTCCGAGGATATCAACAGCCAAGTAGACATCTATGTTGAAAGGAAACATTAATGATACGTTCACTATGTGTAAACTTTCTGTTGAAATAGTTTTGAATTATTCTAAACATTAAAGTTTTTCTACACAGCCATACATCGAGTTTGACACAATTTTTCGGAATATTTGGTTTTAAATGCTCTTCAACTTCATATTTAATTTGGCCTTCTAAATGATTTAATTCGAGGACCGCTGATGAGTCTTATCAATAAAAAAACGTGCGTCTGGCGTCACAAATTATGAACCTGGTATCTTTATTTAATTTTTATAAATACTAGGTGAAACACAGTGTTGGTGGACGTTTCGTCTCTGTGAGTTTCACCTGCCCAGAAGTCATCGCTTCTGTGTTAACATTGAATATCAATGATACGGTAAATTTCTCTAATTATTTTAATTATTCGAAACACCAAGGTCTTTATACCGGCAAGGCATGGATGGCCTTAGACTATTGGCACTGTTTTCTGAATTTTTAAGATTCAATGCTCTTCAAGATATGAAGCAGACTTAGTTGTGTCTGTGCTATTAAAGTTTGATGGGATAGACGCGTTCAAAATAGTCACCAATCTTTGAATTATTTAGTGAGCGGACAATATCTATATAGCGAAACGTGAAGTTAAAGTATATTGATTTCTTTATTCGTATTCCCTGTATGGAATATGGCATTATGCCTTATATGAAATAAGGAAAAAGTCAGCAAGAAGAGGAGCATTGTTGGTTCCCAAAGGAATGTCAATTGTTTCTTGAAAAACATATCCCCTAAACGAAACAGTTATGATGTAAAATAAAAGATTCGGGCATCTTGCTGTCATCAGTTTCAGAGCATTTTTTGTTTGAATTAGAGGTTTTGATTTTACAAAGTATGATTTATCCTTTCCTAAAACAAGAATTTTTAATTGAAACTGCACTCGAATCAATCGATAATAATCCAGAAAATGCAGGATGCAAATAATTCACAAGGGTATTTAATTATGACTTTTACAAATTCGTTTATTAAAGGAAAATCATGTTTGCATGATAGTTATTAAACTTGTTTGCTTTGTACAGTAATGATACTACAGATAACTTTCGTTTGATGACAACAAAAGAACAACATTATGTATATGGCGGGCACAGGTAATCTCAATAAGTATATTTTTGTGAATAAATCACAATCAATGATCTCGCATCTAGTCGATGCATAAAAATAAGTACGCTTCTATCGCAAATATTTTCAACAAGACTATTCGTGAACTTTCCCGCTTTCAACTAGTAATAGACTTAATCATATCATCAAAAATGAGAGATGATGAGATAGGCATTTTGAATCCGTAACTTCTCGCAAACCAGTAAATATATATTTAGATATTGGGTATGAGTCCTTTGCTTCTGCTCGCAGTGTCTTCAGTTCAATGGCCGGTATGTGGTGTAAAGCACGTATATTAATCCGGACGTTTTTTTGAATCAACGTATACCTTTCTGTATATACAAAAATGTTATGTTTATAAAAATAAAATGATGTGTTATGATTGCTAATGAGACAACATCAACAAGAGACCAAATGACACAGAAATTAACAACTATAGGTCACCGTACGACCTTAAACAATGAGTAAACCCCATACCGCATAGTCAGCTATAAAAGGCCACGAAATGACAAATGTAAAACAATTCAAACGAGAAAACTAACGGCCTGATTTATATACAAAATAATGATAGTTTATCGACATCCTTATTTTGGTAAACACCAGAATACTATAGGTTTGGTTGAAGTTCAATATGTGGAAAGTGTTCACATAAATGGACATATAAGAAGGTAATTAAAGAAAATTGTGTGAACTTTCATGTATCAACACTCCATCTGCATATTTTATCGGTTTAATTTATAACATCATCGGACAAGAAAAGATATTTACAATCTAATGAGTTTACTACTATGTATTGGCTCGTTAGTCTTATATCTACATCTATAAACAACTGTCATACAAGTGAGAGGTTGAGCTACTTTAAACCAGGTTAAACCACAATTTTGTTCGAAAAATGGCTGTACCAGTTGTTCCGTTGGTTGATATAGTCGAGCGTTTTGTTTTGTCAGGTTTTATGGACTTGCAATTTTTTTAATTTACCTTAAGGTTTAGTATTTAAGCTAATTAATGTTTTTGTATATTTTCAGCTAAAACTATTTCTGTTCTTCTGACTAGTGTTCTTGCAGCTCATCAGCTGTCAAGGAAATCTTCATCAAAATAACATTACACAGATTGTGACAAAAGCGGTAATTGCTATGTCTGGAGCGTAAACGATCTTTGAAGCTCTTCGATAAGTTACGTTCCTTTGAAGGTCAGTTCACCTCAGTTGATAGTTAAGATTATGTGGGAATATAGCACGATTTCTCTACTCTATATGCTATATTACTACATTATCTAATCAAACGGAATTGTCTATTTAAATTTTTTTTTCGGTAAATCTAAGTGTAACTAGATCACTTGCAGTCGTTACAATTCCTCTGGTGTAAATACAACTGACAGAAAATACACAGAAATGATTAACTAGATTTACATTGTTTTCTTCGCAATAATCATGTTTGTTTTAAGTGCAAATTAGTAGCATACCGTCAAGTGATTCGTATTCCCATGGAATATGGACTTACTGTGTTCCTCTCATCACAGTTGTGTTCGTTTGCTGTTATGGATATACAAATAAGAAGATGTGGTATGATTGCCAATGAGACAACGATAACCACTGAATAACAGGCTCCTGACTTGGGACAGGCACATACAGAATGTGGCGGAGTTAAACTAGTTTGTTGGTGCCAAACCCTCCCCCTAACTTGGGACAGGTGTGTAACAGTACAACATAAGAACATACGATAAATAGAAATCTGTTGAAAATGGAATATGAAGCATGGTTTTGGTACAAATTCATGAAGACCCGGCGAAACGCTGCTTGGTATATTTTTGAATCATCTGCAGTTATCTAGACCACATTTTCTCTATAAATGTATCTATTTTTTATTATACAAATGATATTTATCGGCCTTTATTTTATCTTTTTATATCCAACGTAACATGCGGGTTATACTTTTATGTTAGAAATTTTCATAGCAATATTCCTAAATAAAATGTATGACAAAGATGGCAAGTTTTGCTATCCCATTGTTAAATTTTGCTTTCCTGGATGATGTTGTTCAGTTTGCCCAATATGAAGACGTGAATATTTCTCAGCTGATATATAATGTGTGGGTTGCAGTGACGTCTCATATATCATCCAGAGGGGTTCAACACAGAATGAAAATCAACAAATTGTATAATTTCATAGACATCTATTCGCAGGAATTTAAAAAAGGATAAACCCAATGTTTAAGGTAATATTATTCATAGAGCAAACAAGGTTTAAACATTTCCTCGAAATCTTTATTTTTGGCTTAATAGATTTATGGATAGATGTGAAACTAATTGTGTTGTCCCAATTTACTAGCTTATAGTTTGAAGCAAGAGAAAAACGTAATGTATCTAAATTTTCTGCACTAAAATTGTGTACAAATTAACTTTGTACATTGCTCAAGATCTTCTCTTTCTACAGGTTTTTTATGACTCAAGTGTATGAAATCTAAATCCGATATAACGATGCAGGATGGCATAATTTCATGTGAAAAGATCAGCACTTTGAGATTACTTTCAGTAACTAAACGAACATTATTTGGTTAAGTTTTATTTGTTTTTGCTTTTACTTGTTCAAATACGATAACGTTAATTCACTTTAAATTAACCAAATTACAAATATTTTATAAAACATTTACCGAGAGCGACGTGAGCGATTTTGTAGTTGTATAAACTGGGCCATCAAATTCAGTTTAAAAGGCTCCCTGTATCGTTTACATGTTGATTAATCCTATAGAAAACCGCCTAACCTTTGGTATATTGGCTTTTAAATCAAGAAAAATATAAATTGTTCAGTGTTTCATATATCCTCGTTTGTTGAGTCTAATTAAATGTATAAGCAATGTCAAATACCTGTAATTTATGTATATATATATAATCTGAATATAATGATATAAACTACAGAATGTTCCACTTTACTCACCTAAATCGATGTATATTAAAATCCAAATGTGAAAAACAAGTGTTGAAATGGACATTTTACATAAATACCCGATCAGGAAGTCCTCTGTTTAGGCTTTGTTCATTAAACAAGCAGGAAATATTTCAAAGGTAAACGAATTGTAGAGTTTTACCGAATTAAAAAATCGCCCCATTTTACACTCTATACCTGAAGTAAAAGGAAGTGTTTGTAAATAAATAAATGAACTGTAAAATTCGTGTACCCAATCTGGCTTGTTAGGTGTTGTAGCTACTAATCGTTGAATTTATGTATCAATTTACTATGGTCACTGCACTAAATAATGTTTTTATTAAATATCTGCACTTTTTATGAACTTGCAGATACAATTAAGGTAAAATAATCGATATTACAGTGGAAGAAGGAATTATCTAATAATTAACAGGTAAGAGATTCAGAAAATCCAGCAATTACATATATTTATTTATTGAATCATTTTTGTGGGTTGTTATATCATTAGTTTAATTCGTGTCATTCGTTCTCGTCACATGTTTATTTGTCTTAACCAAGTCGGTATCCCATCGGTAGTTAAGCTTAATTGTCTATTCGGAATGTGATATATCAGATATTCAATTGTACATCATCTAAGACTCATTTGGAATTGGTAACAATTAAAATATGTAGTATTTACCATGTACAAGCATTAGAGTGGAAAATCGATGAAAAGAACAAAGTACTCGCTTTAGAATATCCATGTGAATCAATATTTGCTAAGGTTCGAGTCATAACTGGTTACCCATCAAATTGTTTTGCAGTGTTACTGTGAAGTACGATATTGCACGGAACTCTACGTTGTTGCAAAGTACATGTTATAACGGGTTGACTTTGTCCAACAAAAGCAGATAGTTTCTTCAAAAACTTCGCATCTTCGCTTCGATTGTGACCACAAATGTTGATTGTGCATCTAAGAACACAATCATACGCACTCGATCTGGACAAAATTGTTATTCCTCCCAAGTAAACATGTGCATTTATCAAAATAGTTTGGTAAAATTAATTATCAAAGATACCAGGGTTATGATTAAGTATGCCAGACGCGCGTTCCTTTTGCATAAAACTATTCAATTGCACTTGAATCAAAACAGACAAACAATTGTGAATTAAAAATATCTAAAACACAAAAGTTTCAAAATAGTTTGTCAAATCCGGATAAGGCAATGAAAGCATAGGGTTTCGACTACTATGCTGGTGATTCTATCGGGGACGAAACTTTCACCAATAGTGATATCGAGACAGTTTAAAAACTCCTCACAGATACCAGGTTAAGGATTTAGTACGCCAGGTTCGCGTTTCGTCTACATGAGATACATCAGTGGTGCTTGATTAAAAAAAAAACAAAAAAAAAACCCAAATACGAAGTTGTGCCGTCCATGGGGCTGGCGATACCATTGGGTACATGACCACCAGTAGTGGCATTGACCCAGTGATTGTAAAAACTAATCAAAAATACAAGGCTTATAATCTTGGTACGTCAGACGTGCGAAAAAGCAATCGTTAGTACTCAAATAACCAAATAAGGGTAAACATACTAAACAAAAAGAAACATGCCGAAATACCAAAAATGTTACGTTAAGGCTATTGATTGAGATACATTAAAGTGTATGAAATCATGACTCCGTTTGACATATAACAAATTTACAAGGGCGTTCAATCGTGCAAGTGATTATAGTAGACAATTCAGTAAATGACATAGTCACTAAATTGAATGTACAAAATGACCAATGAAAATGACAAGGTAAGATGACTTCTGACAGACAGAATCGTACTTAACAGTGATATTTCCTGACCAAATGTTGTTCACCTTTTATTCGTATTAACTAGAAAGATCAACATCACAGAAAAGTAAGAATTCATTAATATCAAGAGTCAAGGTCAGATGCTCCTTGTTAGACAGACATTCATTCCCATACAAAGATAATATTTTACTCACAGTGTCGATCAATAAATAATAATAATGAGGTCAGTGAGATATAAACCCTGCCAGACGGACGAATACACATTCACTGGAGTTAAACTAATGTTTTTCATGTCCGTAACTGTTATACTTCAAGGAAGAGTTGACGTTTGAATTATTAAAACAACACGAAATTTAGCAAACGTTTCAGGCTACATTTTCATTAAAGTTATCAAAAACCGTTAAAGACGACATCAGTGTGTCAATTATGCAGTTTATAGTCCAAAGAACTCGATATTGGGTTTTATGAAAAACCTTCACAAGTTGATTAAAATTTTCAGACTTCAATTCCAAAGCAGGCTGTGACGGTAGACAAAAATAAAACCTGTATTCTTTGACGTTCAGAACTACATGTATATCTATATGGTTGAATATTCGAAAGAAATCCACAATGTTGGGTCTGTCATAGTATGAATTTACTACCGAATGTGATAAATCCAGGTGACCGTATTTCAATACCCATGTCGACCCTTGGGGTGTTAGGAATTTCTGTATCCCTGTACATTTATTTTTAGTCAATTAAAAAAAATATCTACAGCTATTTCAAAAAAAACCAACTCTCTAGCAATATCTACAAGTACTATCTGTTCAGTAGTCAGTACTTCCGTATTGACATGATTTATAACACCTTTCTTTTTTAAACTGTCAAATTATAGAAATTTAGAGAAATTATTAAGAAACTAATGAAAAGTTGAGTTTGGATGGATTTGGCTATGATTTTATGTCCTTTTAGTCATATAGGGTCAACTGTTTCGGTTCTTATACATAATTGGCTTTCAAATATTCGTCTTTGTGCGTTCCTGATGAAGGTAAATCCAAGAAAAGCGCTGCGAACGCATGAAATTTGTAAACTGTTGTTTTCATTTTTTTGCAACTACAGATTAGTTATTTGCCTTGAGTTGATGCATGTGCTCATTTGTATGATTTAATGGAAATATGGGGCATGAAATGTGCCGGAGGTGGGCAGTTTTTTTAATTTTCCATCTTTTCTGACTTGTGTAATCTGATAATAATACAGGGTCAAAATCTGTAAACTACTGTTACTGTAATATCGTATGGATAAGAGCAAGAACACATTTAAGAAGTTAAAAATCATAGAATATTTACTATAAAAAATTAAAAAAAAAAAAAAATATTCAGAAAAATGGGGGTCCATTCCCCAGCTGGAGAGACTGGCTTTAAAGGAGGTCAACATGCTTTAATATATTAGGAGATACCAGTAATGATTATATAAATACATGTATAAATATTTATATGTAGGTAAATGTAGTTTGCCCTTTAATCTGGTTTAGTGTGGTAATTGTTTTGGTATAAAGGTGAGCAATTACTCGAATGAAAAATAACAATACTGAACCTCTATTAAACTTCTAATTATGTTTTTTAAGTTCAGCCAATCCTGTCAAATAATCTCGACGTATTATATTTTATACTCGGACCAGCTGACCCAGACGAGATTATACCTTTTATATTGTCTTGTTCCACATATATATTCTATAGTTTAAACATAATCAATTTTATTGGCGTACTAAAACCTGACTAAAGGATCGGACACAAGTTATGTTCGATATATGTTGTGATATAAAAGGCCAATGAAAAAATAGTTCAAAGAATAAGACATTATATCATTTTATTCCTAAAAAGAATCTAATTTATATATTGAAACCGATTCGCCGTCATTATTTGAAACATACAAACACATGTCATTACTGTTGAACATCACACACAGCGGATTGTTTATTCCATGTTTCTTCGAAAGAATCACGTGTGATTTTGTTCCCTCTGAATTGATAACATGAATTTTATTTTTTCCAAACTCGCTTGTAAAAACTTGTCCTTGATGATCAACCGATATACCTCTCATACATTTCATTGTCAGATTAGAAAAGGAATATATCTCGTCGCCATGCCTATTGAAGCACAAGACTTTATGTGACCAATATACAGCACAGTAAATATTACCATTGTCAGATGAACACAAATAAGCTTCGCCTGTAACATCAGAAATTGTATTTTGCACAGCACCACTTAAACTGATAAACGTTAAACCTTTCTCTAGACAGTTTAAAACGAGGTTGCCATCGGTATACGTGATTCCATGGCAACTGTCGTCTGTATTCAAATATCGGAACGTTTTTCTGGTCAGAATGTTTACAAGTGCCACAGATTTCTTTTCTTGTAATGTAACAGCAAGTTTTTCACTATTTATCACTGCTATTGCACAAGGTTTCCCACTGACATCAATGGATTTATGTCTTTCAAAACACTGATTATAAACATACAGCTTGCAGTTGCAAAAGTCCGCCAAAATTAAATTTCCATTCGGAAGCGTATCAATGGTACTGATCCATGGCTTACTTTCGGAACATTTTATATCAAGGGTTGTCTGATTTTCAAATTTAAGTCTTTCAAATCCACCCTTTTCGTTTTTCTCAATTTCACTTTTTTCTGTTTTCTTGTTTTCTATTTCAGTTTGTTTCTCCTTCTGTGTGCACTGTATACTATAGTCATTATCAGTACTTGGACAACTTTCAGCACTCAGTCTGTTTCTTTTTATCGTTGTCTCAGTTGTGTTTTCATTTTCTTTAGTGGGAAGTGAAACGTTGCTCAACATTCGTTTAGTTGCACTAGCGATGGCGTATTATATCAAGAAATCTACGAAGAAAAAGAAAAACAATAAGTAAATAAATGTTGAATACAATCATTATGTCAGTATTTGTGTGGGTTCTCTATTTACCACAGTTCTTACTTTGTTCTCGACTCATTTGCTAAATGTCAAAACGCCTCTATTGTGTTTATTTTAAGTAAAACACCAGTGTATATATGGTATATTGATTAAACCTGGTGATGATGCGCAATTATCTATTTGAGGAGGTGACTTGATTTGGAACAGAATGCTACTGCAGTCTACTCAACACTATCGACAACGGAAATGTCCTAACATCTCTGATTAAATGTCTGTTTAATTCAACCTTAAAAAGCTAAAGATAAATACTGTTTGACACCCTTTTTGCTTTGTAAATGCTAATAAACCTCCGAAATGTGTAGTGTCAGAGTGTATGCTGTATCAGAAATGATATTACAAATATAGATGACACATATATAAATCATGTAATAATTTGATTGGTTACATCCTTAAGAGGGGTTTAAGCTCAAATCATATGTGAACAAACTGGAAATCAATGAAGAAGTCAGGACACTCCTGTACAAAATAATTGTTATCCGGCTTCACATTGGAAATGCAGTCAGGATTCTACCTCGTCAAAAAATTATCTCCCCATTACGCCACATTATTTTTATAATCGTAAAAATGGAAGCCATTGTAGTGATGACGCGCTGTCAATTTAGCTCTTGAAAACCGATAAATATATCCACATAGTATTATTACGATCTTTATATGCCAGTTGTATTTTAAAAGAAAAATGTATCTACTAGCTATTGAGCATCATTTAATGTACTTTTATGCATTTGGTCAACTTAAAACTATTGTCTGGTCGGTTGTAAGGAGGAATTTTCGGAAGTTCAAAAATATTTTAAAAAATTCTAATTAAATATTTCGTGGAAGGGCATACTAAACATGTTCAGAGATTGAAGACTAATCACCCTAGATAACACACACAAAAAAAATTTTTTTTGAAGTTATGTATTTTAAGATCCACCAGAAAAGTTTGTCGTCAAGTACTTTTAGTAAAAATTTGTTATTCGAACACACCTACTCTGTTGTTATGACTCAATAATTTAATTTTGGATGTAACGCGTCTTCTGATTGGCTGACGTTGTTTTGTTTATTTGCTCATAGACATAATTTTGTCATGTGACCGTGACCTCATCAACGTTTTTTCATGGTTTACTCCGGTTTAAAATGGAATTTAGAATTAAATTATAAGAAATGACTGTAATATTTTTTCTGTCTATTCGAAATAACATAAAAAATGTGGTGCACACTTTAAAATATCTCGCTACGCGGGTTATTCAGTGTGCACCACATTTTTGATGTTATTTCTTCATAGACAGAAAAAATATTACAGTCATTCCTTAATTAGAAAGGTATTTCACTTGACCCATATATTTCATCTTTTAGTACTGTAAATTTTTAATGCTATTGTATCAACCTACAGCCTTAATATATAAAAATAATAGAATCTGAAGCGAGATGATGTATCAAATATTTTTCTTTTATACGTTTAATCAGTGGCCTAGCTAAAATTATAATGATCTGCATGCAGAAGTTGCCGAGCGTAGCGAGGCAAAAATATTTCGCCAAGCGGAGCGAGGCGAACAAAATTTTGGACCCTTTTTTACAGAAAATGAATCTTTTTTCGATCTAAGATGGTTAATTTTGAAGTGAAGTATGCACAGTTGAGTGTTTTTCTATACTAGTATATCAAATCAAAGACCTAAAACTGACTAAAAAATTCTAAAAACTTTACAATGCTCGCCAATTTATTATGCTTCAAAGAAAGAAAGGGCTAGAGAACTGGATCATCTCATGACATATATGTTAACATACGCCTGAAAACAAAGCAATTCAAAAAATCAATTTTTAATTTGATGATATATGAATGTGACGTTCGTATGTAAGACCGTATGTAAGACTGAATTTAACAACCGAGGTCCTTTAGGAGAGTAACATGTTCATTTGCTTAGCATTGTTAAACGTGTCGATAACTTCTTTAGTGTCAATGTCAAAATCAGAATGAACGTGCAGCAGTGCAAGCGAAGAAAGTCATTCTTGTCCCATGGTCGATCTCAGATACTTTTTTACGCGTTTCAGAGCGCTGAAAGAGCGTTCAGCAGTAGAGGTTTAGGGTGGCATGGTGAGAAGTATTTGCAGAATACAGAATATATTTGGGCAAAGTTCTTTCGGCGTCATCTTCAATGTTGCACAGAGATGGTCTGGTTTCTTAGATAGGTAAATATTCCATCGCGCAACCCACCTTTTAATTTTGAGAAGAAACTGATCTTCTGATTGAAGATCGGACTCGTAGGCGCGAAATAGAGGTTTCTCAACATCTTACGAACGGACGAAACTCGACGAACGTATCGTTAGGGAGCTGTAATTTTATGCAGTAAAATTGTCTACCGATATTGCAGCCTGTTTAAAGACAACAGTAAACAATTTATTATTCATTTTGCAACCTTGTAATTTATTGTTGTGGTTAAACATTAGTGTTCCAATTGGTTTTGTGTTGTTGAATGTTGCGTAACCTTACGTTGAGTTTCGTTTATTTACATGTCGAATATACGTTCGATTTATCTCCCTTATCCATTTAAAAAGAACAATGTTTTTGATAGTCGTTGTTAAAAAAAAATCTGCGCATTTGGTTTGCATTTGACTGAATGATTGTTGGATGTTTTTTTATAAAACGTTCAGTGGCGAGTATTCCATGCATTTCACGACGATATTAACATCTGATAAAGGATTGAAAAGTGGTTGAGAGGACACAACCTTTACATTTAAATCTCCAACTCTGGACTTAAAGTCATATGAAACCTCAAATTAAAAAAAAAATGATGCATATGTTTTTATAACTAAATGGATAGTTTTCATTATAAAACTTGTGTACATATACTTTTTTTTAAAATTGTCCACATTTAGAAGAAGTTTACTTTTTTTTAATTGCTTGCTTCCAGGAAGCAATTCGCCGACATATTGTCCATATGCAAGTGACCTTAGCGTGACCCTCCTCGTAAAATTCCGGTGATCGCAATACGCATGGATCTGTCATTAAAATGAACTATTATCTGATTGTGCATGTTATACACGTGCTCAATATCCATGCTTCTTTGTTGATTGTTTACTATAAGGTGACAATCGGTAAACTACGGCTTCAAAACACGACAATTAAGTAGCTGCCATATTTTCACATCATAACAGACACAGAGAAAAAAAAATTGACGATTATACGATATGTTTGCGTAAAAAATGATAAAATCGTGTACAGAAGACTAAGTTTATGATATATACATGCATTGGTTCAAGAATTGGATAAACATTATTTTTCACCAGTCACTCGTTTCATGTGACTTTAACATCTCTAGCGCTCGACTTTAGATCTACAGCGCTAGACTTTACACCCTAGCGCGCTGGACTTTAAAAACCACAACTCTATATCTGCGTGAGACCAGCAGATCACTGTATTATAGAGATGTTTTGCGTGGATTTATAGGCCACACAGACTAATATATCAGCAGTGCATATGGCGTTAGCTAGTTCTTATAGTTCAAACAAAGTAGACTAATCTTTTCCTATACTTAATAATTGTTGACAAATAATAAAGATTGAATTTTGAAAGTCACAGAGAAATAAAATTCGGTCACTTCATAAACTAATCAAAGGTGGCAAGAAAGGTCTAACACAAAAACTCGTTAACCATAACCCATTTTTCATATATTCTGATTAATATTAATACATGTATAAGTGTAAAACAACTTCGATAAATATATGTATATATTGAATAAAAACGCAAAAAGAGATATGATGTGGTTTAAAACAGTTTAATTTCTTCATTTATCTCCACATTTATTCGATAGTATTCAATAATAAATATTGGGAACCACTCCTAACAGCAAGAAAATGCGGTATTTTTTATGTATCTTTGATATATATGTCGTTAAAACCGCGATTTATTTATATGTATTTTAAAAGTTTTTAGGGGGAGTCAGTTATATTGTAAGTAATATATAATAAGTATAGTTGTGTGTATTCTAATGGAAAGTATGAGTGCTACAGCACCAACAGAACTGATTGTAATATAGATATTAAAATGTACATTGAAACAATTTAAATTATACTAATATACTAATAAGTGTACGATAATAAAAACATAGACTAAAAGGATAAGAAAGGCCTTGAAAATAAAACAAAAATCAACAATACATTACAGAATATCTTTTCAAGTGAACTTTTTTTTCTCAAATATCTATTTCAGTATTTCCCTTTATTCATTTTCTTGCCAATATAGGTAGAAAATAGTTCAATAATAATTATGTAAGGTGAAGAACTGACCATTTGGATTTTATAGCTTTGAGGCAACAAAGTTATCTCGGACCCAAGGATTTTTTTTTTCAAATTAAAAACCGATTTTTTTCTAGAGTCGTTCACTCCTAGATTAAATTTACCTCTTTTATGCGCAGGACTTTTTACCTTTGATCTGAGTCTAGATAAATTTCAAAAATATTCATTGCCCCTCCAATCTCAACAAAAAAGGACACTAAGTCACTAAATACACATCAGATAGAACTCGCATTCAATATAATAATATGTCCACAACTCAAAATGGTTTAAAAGAACCCTGCATGCATATCTTAATGAAAGGAAGTGCACATCCGATAGTCCAAAATCATTCAATAAATGAGTGCTCCCTCTTTTCTCGTTACGGCAAGTTACGTCAAGTTAAGGCGATTTTCGTCCGTTCGTAAGATGTTGAGAAACCTCTAATATGCGAATTTGATGGTCCCGATTCAAACTTTTCAGATTGTTTGGAAGAAGCATCTGGGCAAGAAAACGTTCTTCCGAATTGACAAGACGATCTCGTAGTTCGTTTTAAATTAGTAGATGGTTTAAAAATTGTATATACCGATGTACGCACAACAAAACTGAACCGAAAGAAAACACGGAAACCTTTCTGACAAGTTGAAACACCTATATATACAAAGTGACAGTCAATCGCACTCTTTCTTTTTTTGACTGCTATGATTTTTTAATTATGATTTTTTTTTTGGGGGGCCATTTCGTTTGTGCACGCAAGTGCGTCGTTGCGTCAATGGTAGCTACGCCACTGGGTTTTCAAGACAGAATAGTCAACTGAAACACGCCTGAACCTAAAAAGGTGTACTCGACTTTCTCTTTTCGATGAAATTATTGCCTATTTTGGGGGATTTTTTCCTAAAAACTGTCACCGGGGGCAGAGATGCAAACTGATGCTTTAAAAAGATAAATCTATTATCTTTCTTTGGAATTTTTGCTTATGCACAAAAAAGATCCACGTGAATTTAAACCTAAAACAATCGACTGTTTTGTGAAAATTTGTCTATAATTTAAAAATTTACAAATATCTCGAAGCTCAATTCAATAATTTAAGTAAAAACACATACATCAGATGCATAAAATACTAAATTAGGCACATTCATTAAACTTTTAAAGCCCATAGAAACAGATGTAAACAATTCAAATTTACCAACTTGACCTTATCTAACAAAGAGTTTTGAGTAAAAAAAAAGGCAGGATGAGCAACTTGGCAAAAAAAAGGCAGGATGACAATTTATGTAAAAAAAAGTCAGGATAAACTAATAAAAAAAAGGCAGGACCGAATAGAGTGAAAAATAAAAAGGCAGGACAGAGTGAAAAAAAAATTTCATCCTAGCCCCCCCCCCTCCCATAAAAATCAAATGGTAGCTCCCTAAACGGTTATCGTTTCTGTGCCACTTACCGTTTTTGTTATCAATCCCTTCCGAGATCATTACTGGTCCCTCCCAAATTCAAACATGTATAAAAAAGATAGAATATATTTAACATACCTTATTACGTATTAAAATTTTAGAAATATAATCCGTCTTATAGTTTTGAATTCAAATGATATAAATAAAACCATTTTGGCATTACGCCATTTATAAATACCCGATGAAATTCCCAGTTATTTAAATATAACGTAATAGGTAATGGAAAAATTGTCAACTACGAGAGTAGATCACAGGTGATTACAGCTAAATCCATTGATCAATATTTCAACATAGTGTTTCAACACATTCAGTAACAGTGGAATCTTTTTAATATACACAAAGAGAGTAATTATGTTTGTCTGTTTAGGTATTTTTTTAATGTATTATATAAATATTGTTTTGAGAAATTCAAAATTTTACAATGATATAACCACCGTTGTTCTGAATAACAAGACAAAATATAAAAAAAGTATTTAGAGAAAATACTAACACTGAAACAAAAGTTGAAAAGACAGTGTTTGTCAAAGTATAAGGGATATTTACCGTGTATCAACTTATATATTTTACTCGTATTGCAGATTATGAATGGTAGATTGAATTGAGGACTGACGGTGTCCTGTCAACGTAAGGTTCTATGTATTTGTTCCTCCTAACAGAAGTTCCTCTGGAGACTATGTTATAAACAAATCTATACTAAATGTTTCCATTAGACAAATATTTTATACCATTCATTTCGTTAGGAACAAATATTGTATTATTTCTTCTAGTGGGAATAATATTCCTTAATATTTCTTCAGTTAGGAACAAGTATTATAAAGGGACTTCTATTCCATGACATCCCATGGTTTGTAGATTTCATTGTACTTTGTCTACTATTTTGCCGAACAAAAGATCTGATAAGGATACAGCATTTATTCAAATATATTTTAAGACATGTAGAAAGCTTCAACCTTGATTTCGAATAGGCGTCTTCGTTCAATTAAAATCCCCTTTTAAAAAGTGAGTTGTACCCGAAGATTACAATAGATACTAAGCTTTTCCTCACCCTGGCAAGTATCTCTGGTTCACTGCAATTAAGAGTCACTGTGCCGAGAGATATAGTCATATCATATTTAATTTCATGTAATATTGCGGTTACATTTAAATAACTATTTAATTCAAGAACGTTTCAAACAAAACTCGATTATCAACAGTGAAAACAAATATTCCAGACAAACAACTTTTCCTGTTTTCACTCGATCTGTAGTGAAATAAATACAGGAGATGTATCTTTAATCCTTTTATGTTTTGCTTAAGTTACCAACATTTTGCTTACTATACCAATAAAAAAGGTTTACTGGTAATGTTTTACCGGAAAGCTGATAACCGAAAGCTTGATTGTAAAAGGGGTATAAATACAGCAGAGGTCAACCATTTAAATTTAGGCAGATTTGCCAAAAGGAAGTTCCGGTATTGGTTTTCGTTAAATTTACAAAAATTGTCAGTTTTTATCAAATTTTATTAAAAAAAAACCGTACTGGTCAATGTCAAACCATTGATTAGGGGATGGATGGTATAAATATAATCATAAGTCCACCTACAGTATTATCAACACAGTCGTAGTATATCAAAGTAAAGCAACTTAGCTGTTTTGTTGCACTCCATAAACAATTCTGGATAGAAAAATATGGCCTGTAAAATATAGAATAAGACGTCTAAAAATCTGCAGGTATTGTTAATAAATCTATCTCGATTGGAGGAACACGCAAGATGGAATCAATAAAACATCGCTGCGAAGGACTGGAAAACTACCAATAGGAAAGGAAAGGTAGTTCTGTTCCCTTTGTCATTTTGAAAATTACCTGGATAAATTATAATATCAAGATATTAAAAGAACAACGATTATTATTAATGGTTGGATTATGTCAGAGAAAGGTGATATTTCATTGTATATTTAAAAAATTGTAACTTGTTAACAGATAATATGTGACGTCTAACTATCCGCAGATGAAATAATAAAAAAATATCTGTCAAGTGGTGTTTCGTAGGCTTTATATGAAATATAAATTCATTAACTTGAGATAGTCTGGTAAATGGACTTCTGTGGTTCTAAACAAAACAGGAACTAATGTTTTAGCTTTGATTGAACAATTGATTGATTGCTGTTTCCTTTACGTCCAGTAACAATTATTCCATGCATTTTCATAACGAGAAACAATTAACAATAAATGTGTAGGTTCTGGAAGGTTGGACGACAGGGATTAATGAAAGATTTGGACTGCCACTGGAAAACAAATGGTAAATAAGATAGCGAAATAAAGTTTGTCTGGCGAGTTATTGAGCGAAATCTAGCAGGGAGTGATAAAAGTTTGACCAGTACAACACTTTGCATGACATTGGAATATTAATTGCGGGTTAGCTTCAAATGATCTGGTATTTCACGCTTTATTTAGACATTTTATGTACCTTTGTGCAGGGGCTCGTTCTTTTCGCTATAATCGTGGTAGAAGCCGTGCATATGCGACGACCTGTACTGTAGATAGCAAAATTGTAAAACTACTAACTATAAAAATATTTGTATGACCACTAACACGTTGAATAAAGGAATCAAGCGGGTCTCGAGTTGATAAAGAAACGTACTTGTTATATCTGTAATACTAAACTCTTTAAAAAGGGATTCATATCCCAAGCGCATGCAGTAGAAGTAGTAGTAGTGGTGGTAAAAAGATTTTGATGATGATGAAATTAATTGCATATTCACGATGTGAACATGTTTATAAGATACGAAATCTGCTTTGTTATAGACCGACATGCTGGTTTGGAATTTACACCCTACCCGGACACATTATGCTGACTGAGAGCCGATTAGCATTTGCTCTTTCTTCTGTCGCGTGCTAAGCAAAGACATGCAGTTGTAAAGTTTTGGTAAGGCCCGGTCCGTAATCAAACCAACTACTCCTGCAATCGAGGCGAGCACGCTTCCACGTGGTCCCTGATAGGTAGTGAAAAGATAGAGAATATACCAAGGGACAAGGGGGGGGGGGGGGGGGGGGGGTCAAGTCAAAGTTACAAACCTACCTGCCATCCAGAAAGGAAAAACAAAATTACACAAACACAAAAACACACCCATAAACTAAACATGCCATATACAGCTTGATTTTTACATCACTGAAATCATTTTTCTTCAACAATTTTGTCTAGAAAACTATACATCAGTTTAAAATATATTATTTTTAGCCCAAATAATGATTCAGAACAGTGATACGTGACAAAAGATAAAATTTTCCCCATAATATTATCATGTCGATCTGGTCCATGTCGATCCGATCCAAGTTGCCATGATCCGGTCCATATTTTGATATTATTTAGGACAAGCGATTACTATAGTGAAATAGACCTTTATTTATAAAGAAAACGTTCATAAATTTTATAAATCAAGGAAATGACGATCTACAGTAACTGTTGTGCTATTATTGATACATTTCCAAACGAACGAAAATTCTAGTTATTGAACAAAACGTTTAATTCACTGGAATGATATTCAGCGGGGAGATCGGGAAAGATCCTGAATACGGTAAATGGGCTTCATCCAAATGGCATCAACAGACTGAACTAGCAGTTTGCTGCGTCTTTAGAAATTTTTAATCAGTAATGGCCGGCTTGCTATAGTTACTTTTTCTTTCGCGGTCATTTTTCTCGATATTCCGAATGACAGCCGTGTATTAGAAATATTGTCTAGCTCTCAGTATTTATCCAGAAAACTGCATGCGAAATTTGTTAAACATATTTTAAAGATGTTAATGTTGGCTGCATACTGAAGATTTACTTATTTAGTTTTTCAAAAATCATTCCATTTGTAATCAGTATTTATTTATGCATGGCTTTATTCAGTTGTATGTTTTATTAGTGCATGCTGCTTTGTTCTATTCATAAGATTTTCATTTGGACCAATGAATATAGATAGAAAACTATTTTGGATTCGGCAAAGTATAAAACATAGAACATAAGTTCTAGTGAACTTTTTATTTTCTTTATACAAAGAATTCCGCTCAAACCGGTGCTAGGGGCCGTCTTAAACTTGCAGTGAGGTGAGAGTTTTTTTTACTCCGTGTTGAAGGCCTCACTGTGACTTTGTGATGAAGAACAGCAATAAAAGCGCTGTTCCTTTGCTTTTTGTGTTTTTTGCTGTGCATATACTGATTTTGTGTCAGGGATGGATACGAAAGCGTATACAAAACAAATAAAGCAAAGCATCATGCACAAATTAAACATACAACTGATTAAAGCCATGAAACAACCAAAAGCTATCCTTTATACAAAAATGTAACTTAGAACTGTTCTGTTTGACAAAAATAATCAGCAGCTCTTGTGACAAGCACATCTATGGGTCACCTGACAAAAGGTTAGCAGCGGTAACAATATGAAAGTTTAAAATTAAGCACTATATATAGCAAAGCAATTAATATGAGCTAACAATTGTAATATTAGTTAAGTCAATGAACTATATGTTACTCTATAATCTAGGAAAACACCAGGATGCATATGTTATAATAACAATCAAGTTGATGTTTTTTATCAGATGCTAAAGTTACTATCTAGGTTTTCTTTATATGAGAACTGTTTCCATGATATCGTAACTTGTGTGCTTTACACTTTATACTAAACATGAACATAGTTTAGATTAGAATAAAACTTTTAACCAATCTTATAAAAATAAGGAGATGTTGTGTGATTGCCAATGAGACAACTATCCACAAAAGTTCAAATGAAGTGGATGTAATCAATTATAGGCAACCGTACGGCCTTCAACAATGAGAAAAAAAACCATGCCGTATAGTCGGCTATAAAAGGCCCCGACATGAAAATATGAAACAATTCAATTGAGAAAACTAACGGCCTAATTTAAAACAAACAATTTACGAAAAACAAATATGACAGACATGAACATGATGAACCAACGTCGGACAACCACTAAACTACAGGCTTCTGACTTGGGACAGGCACATAAAGAATGTGGCGGGGTTAAACATGTTTGTAAGCGCTCACCCGTCCCCCTAACCTGGGACAGTGTTGTAACAGCACAAGATAAGAACAAACTATGAATATGTATATTTATCAAGGGAATATATATTTGCCCCCCCGATATAACAAAAAAATGAGTAAATGAATATATTAAGAAAGCAGTATAATAATAATCAATATAAAAATGAGTTGCAGAGCTGACAGTATAATAGCACAGACCAGGGACATATAGTATGTCTCTGCAGAGGATTAGAAATCAAATGGATAAAATGTGTCTCTTCAAGATTCAATTCAGATTTTAAAATATTTTTTAAAATATTTTTTTTGTGTTTGTTGACAATTAAAAAAATACCAGCAAGTTTTGGTTTTATTCCTCTCTTTGATGTTCTTGTTTGGACCGGGGACACAGTACAAATATACATGGTTCCCCGGCTTTAATTTTGTGTGTACTTTTTTTCTTGCCTATTTTAGAATTTTTCTTTATTTTGTTGTATTTAGGTGAAAGATAACACTTCAAATATACTGTCTTAAAAAAATAGAAACGAGCGATTTGATCCGGATTTAATCTTCTCAGAAGCTATTTGGCTTCATCCATACCTGTGTCATTATGTTTGGGGTCCAGACCGAGAGGAGTTGGTTTTTTTGTTTAAATGTTTTGAGGTATTAATCAAACTTTTTGCACAACAAATCTTATCATAAAAAGGCAGGTGGAATTTTTTTTTTTTTTAATTGCCTTATGTGTATTATAGACAAATATTGGGAATTTACTGTGTTCTATGGGCTGTCGCTGAGATTGCAGAATTCCGGAAATCTTCTATGTCCTAACGGAGACGTAACACAATTTTTTTTCTATCCGAACTGGTTCCTTGTTGATAAGTTGCTTATAATTCCCTTCGATGGGTTGATTAGAAGCCAGATACGATCCTGTAAATATTGTGCTGAATTTTTTTATCATATTTGACAAGATCCATAGTAACTGTTGGGAACTGTAAATTGAGGTGACTAAACTTTTTTAAGTCATGACACAAAGAGTGTTAGGAAGACTTTCTTCTCAAAGGTTAAAACATTTTATCGGAGAAAGATTATCAAATTCGCAAAACGTAGTCGACCTTAAAAGTCAGCATGTGTCAGAATTGCATCATATCAGACATTATGTTGGACGTACAAGTCAAAACAAGTCATTTATATTCTATAAATTAGACAGTATAATAAAAAGAAAATTGAATGCTACAAGATTAATTTCAAAAAGATTTAATTCCCCGAAGTCTGATCCTGTAGATACAAAGGCTACCCCCATATCCGAACCTCAGACAACTTCCATATCTGAAACACAAACAACCATCATTTCCGAACCACAAACACTGGGTAGCACTACCTCCATATTAGAACCACAGACAATAGCCAGCACTACCTCCATATCTGAACCACAGACAACTGCCAGTACCACTGTAAAATTGTCCACACCCTCTGGTCCAACAAAGGTTCAGGCTAGACTGGATAAATCAACAACTTCTAGTTCTTCAGTTCAATCAGACGAATGGAGATCTATAAATCCTGCAGCAACTAAAGAAATAAAACTGTTCTATTTTGACACCTTAAGTTTAGCAAACAAGTTTCACAGCAAGGGGTTTACAAGAGAACAATCAGTTTGCATGGTGGAGGCATTTATTGAGGTTCTTAATACATCAATTGAACATCATACTAAGAACATGGTTACAAAACCTCAACAGGAAATTATGGTGCAACAACTTATGGCACAGATTGCTGCAGTGAAAAAAGACATGGTTATATTAGAAAAAAGTGAATTTACTATGTTGCGAAATGAAAATGAAATGCAAACTGCTGAAATCCTTCAAATGAAAAATTATGTAACTGATGAAATATCAAAGCTGAAAGGTCATGTCAAACTAGATATTAATTTAGAGAGGAGTAGATCAATGGAGGCACATGCAGAAAATGAAAAACAATTGCAAATTGTTCGAAACAAAATTGATACAGATGTTGCTAATTTAAAAACTACATATGAACAATATAGAAATGATATAATAAAGAATACTGTAGGTACTATTGTGTCTTGTACACTAGTGGCATTAGCTGCAATGAGATTAATGGGTTAACATTTAGAAACAACAATTATGAAAAAAAATCAAAAATGTTATAACTCTCAGATTTCTTAAAGTCTTCCTGACTGAGATTTTAAAATAAATATGGTAGGGTATCGTAATCATGGTAATAGTACAAACAAAAAATTTATTAAATTGTTTGAAATTTTATATCTCTGTCATTACTAATTTTACAGGAAAATTCTCACTAATGTAAGAGCCTTAAGTTAAAAATAACTGTGTTTTATTCGTGTTGTTTCAGAATAAAATATGCTGCCTGTAGATATTTGAACATTATAAACTGTTGACTGTATTTGGCATTTTTATTTTATTTTTGCTTGTCTGTTTCAATTAAAAATCAACTCTTGCTGATGACCATGTTCATGTTCTCTACAATGTCTACAATGTATCCTGTATATTTTATATGAAAAATATTTTTGTATGGCAGGTTATTTATCATTGCCAATCACCTCCAACCAATTTGTTTTCCAGTGATTCACTCAATACTATCAAGGGTTATTTTGTTTAAATTTTCAAGTTTAGCACTTTTTCTGAATTAGAGTTATCTCTCTTTTGTTGTTAAATTTTGACAATCTGTAAAAGATTTGCAAATTTTCAATTTTATTTGCTTTGGATAAAACAGGGGTGAAACAATTTTTAAATATTTTACCCAGTATAAATTTTAATGCATGTACAATGTAATATCTGATGTTATGGTTTTTAGCTGTTTGTTTGTTTAGCACTTTAAGTTGTTGCACATTGATATTGTTCAGTTATTAATGCAGTTATCATAATGTTAAGCTTAAGTCTTTATCATCAAAAGTATCAAAATAGGAGTGAAAATACATGTTTTGAATTGAAATACAAAGATTACTAGATGTGGCATGCTTACCTATGATATAACTATAAAGCAGATACCAGAGGCTGGGGATATAAACAATGATAGGTCACACGTGCACTTACAGTACCTCATTCAACAATGAGAAAACAAAATACCATATACAGTCAGGGGAATTACTGAAATAAGTGATTTATATATTTAAGTAGCAAATTCGAAATTTTGTCACAAATTGTGATTTCGTAGTTTTACCAAAATTTTAAACATATAGGTTTAGATTATATCTTATTATTAGCAAAATTAAAAAAAAAATAACCTTTTGCTTCTTTTAAGTAGCAAGGTTTATGCCTTTGATGCAGTGTAAAATCATGTTTACATTTCATTTATTGCTGTTGAAAGAAGAGGAGTATGCATGCTTGCAGGTCATATTATTACTCAAACAAGGTAAAAATGCTTTTTATATATTTTTCTACAATATTTCAGTATAAGATTTCTTCCTTCTTAGGCCACCCATGCCTGTCTAAAAAAATATTTTTTTTATCATGTCCTAATTGACCTTATTTTTTAGACAAATATTTTACAATATTGTATGAAAACAATCAAGTGTGAATTTCACCATACTTGTAGCAAGGTGGTTTAGGGGGGTTTGCACCCTCATAAATAGAGGTATGATACTTAGACAAGTGATTTTCATGTCATTATCCCAGATTCAGTACAAGGTCATCACCTGACATGACGGGTCATCCTATCAACACAGATGTTGGTTCTGATAATTTTAGCAACATATTTAGTCCCTGGATCATTAGTATTGTATATTTAAAGCTACAATAAAATTAAATCATTTAGTCTAGTGATTTATTTGTACTACTTAAATAGGTGATTATTAAAGAAAGACAACTCTGACTTCCGACATTTGTGGACAAAATGTTACTTGAATCAGTGATTTAGAAATCATTCATTTAAGTAAGTCCCCTGACTGATATAGTATAATAGTAAGCCTTTAAAGGACCCTGTATGACCAAATGGGAAACATTTAATTATTCAAAAGAGAAAAAAAACCACCTAATTTATGGTGAAAACAATAATAAAAAACAAATAAGATAGACAACAAACAACAACATCTACTGAATTGTTGGCTTCTGACTTGGCACAGGTACATGGGTAACAAATGTTTGAAGTATTTAATCATTTACTCATTTTTCTTAAAATATAAAAATAAGAAGAAGTGGTATGACTGCCAATGAGACAACTTCTTCAAAAAAATCATTTTTGATTTAAAATTGATAAAAAATGTCTGTAGTTTAAATGTTGTTTCATAGTGGAATTGTAATTAAATGTAGAACACAATTATAGATGAATTTAAGGACTTGTGAATCTTGTTCACCTACATTGTGCATTGTTGCTATTCAAAAAATGTGTGTTCTCTGTTTGACCTGGTCAATATTGCACACTGTTGACTTAATTTTTTCAATGAAGATCACTATTATATTACAAGCTCCTAGACTCCTATATGTATATCAAATTTCATAGATTCTGTCCTTCAGCTAAAATCAAAAGTCGGAAATCTTATTGCAAGAAATTATTTTGTTTTAAATTATGATAGTTTAAGTAAAGTCTATATTTGGAAAGCCTGTAGGACTTCCAATGTAACCTTCCATTCATATCCTTGCAGTATTCAAGAGGACCTTATTCAGACCTTCACAGTTTGGGAAACTGATTTAAGTACCAGTACTTTTAAAAGACAAGCATGAAAATTTTGGAGCTGGTCTCTTTTTTTTTAAGAAAATTCTACATTGTACATGAATTCAAACTTTTCTATAGCATTGGAACCCTTTTGTTTAATATGCTTGTCATCAAATCCTTATATTTTCAACAGAACTGTTAATTTACTGTTTGTTATCATTATTTTACAAATGTTGATTAATTTACTTGAATATGTATTTTGCAATTTTGTATGTTGCATGTTTTTTTTAATATCTTTAGAAACAATATATAATAGTAAAGTGGCTAGGCCAGTAACAAAAATCAAAGATTTTATCCAACTATATTCTTTTATTGGGATTGTTGGGTGGGCAGATAATTTGTTTTTAAATATTAGTGAAACTTCTTGCAAAATAAAATAAAATAGCCAGATATCAAAATAAAATCAGATTGCTCTGAAACAAAGGGTCAGCTGGGAAAAGAATAAAGAGAATTTTTTAGTATGACCTGATGTGTTTTTAACAAGTCTGATGTTGTATAATTGATATAAGTTGATGTAAAAGGGCAGAGGGCATTTAGCACTGATATTATTCTGTTTTTTTCTGTGAACTACAGTACATGATGACTAGGCAAATGTCACTCTCTGAGTGTTTTTTTTATGCAAATAAATGATATTATATTAAGCATTTTTAATATTTTTTATTTGTTGCTTGTTTTAATACAACTGTTTTATGATTTCTTGTTATTACTTGCCCAAATTCGTTTTGGAAAGCCTTGTTTGACCCTTATGAAATTTGATTCAAGCTATGCAATTTCCTTTGAAGCTGATTTGATTAAAATGTAATGAAATGTAATATAATACAGTTCTCCATTTTCAATTTTCATTCAATATTTGGTTTAGTCGAAATGATAAAAACTTAAAATTTATGAAGTCTTATTTATCGATCAAACAGTATCCTTTTTGTGTTTTTATAAAAATGGTTTGTCAGAGAACAGTATTAATTGGGACACATTTGTTTAACCTACATAATATCTGCTATAGGCCTAAATAGTTAAGCTAGTGTGTAACAGCAAGGTGATACAAAAAAAAACCTGAAATTTCATGTGAAATTGATGTGACTCGCATACATACAGAAAGAGAGATAGGGTTATATACCCATATTATGAGAAACAAAACTGGTAAACACAATAAACAAAAACCAGCATTTGCCATGTTGAGGATATCTTTTACAAAAAATGTAATATCAAAAATGAGATTATTTTTTTACTAAGTACAATAATTGATACAATTAGAGATTATATTTACTCCTTATTCCTGTTGAAGGAAACTCATTTAACTGGGATAAAGACCGTGGCGGATCCAGAAATTTTCATAAGTGGGGGCCCACTGACTGCCTAAGAGGGGGCCCGCTCCAGTCATGCTTCAGTGATTCCCTATATGATCAACCAAATTTTTCCCAAAAAAGGGGGGCCCGGGCCCCCCTAAATCCGCCTCTGAAAGAATGAATTTTGCGTCTGTCCATCTGTCCACACTTTCTATCTGCATTACTTCTTAAGATTCTGACAGGAACTAGATTTCAAGGAAACCATTATTATATATCTCACTAATTAAGTACATTCCTTTTTAAATTTTTCATGCCTCTGCTGCTTGACAATACCAAGAACCAAAATCGCAGACAGAGTTCGAATTTGGGCAGTGAGTAACTTACCATTCTAGAGTTATGCCCCTTTATAACCTGGAAAAATTGGAAAATTTATTGTTTCTGAACTCTAACTTAAGTTTGTTTCCTACAAATTTTATGAAACTCATACACAATGCTAAGAACCAAAACTAGCAGACAGAGTTCGAATTTGGACGGTGAGTTACTTACCGTTCTAGAGTTATACCCATATATAACTTGGAAAATTGCAATTTTTTGTTTCCGCACTCTAACTTTAGTCTGCCTTTATTTATGAAACACATACTCAACGCTAAGCACAATGCTCAGATTTTTTCATGACTGACATCAAGTGCTCTCAAAAATATTTTTAATATTATAAGAAAGATTATGCGGTGGCATTCGTGTCCCCAAACACATTCTTCTTTTATTTTATTAAATGTAGAGTTCAGATAGCAAAATGAAATTTATGAATATAAAGTTAGGGGCATACTCAAATGGGACACTTTTTAAAAATTTAAGTAAGCTGGCCTAAAGGCAAACTATGAGCTTTTTGTCATCCTTGGCGTCTGTCCTGTATTGCCTTTTGTCTTCTCACTTTTTCAAAAGTCTTATTATTTGAAACATTGATAGACTGAAATTTGAGCATTTTTTTTTCTTCGGATGTTAGCTTATTTCTAACTGTATTAAAGTCATTTCTTCTAACTTCCTCCTACTAATGAGGAGCACATCCAGTATGGATTGAAAAACAGTTTAGGCTTATTTTACACGGGCACAATATTGTTAATCTTCAATGAGGCTTATTTTAATGGGTACAAATTGGCACACGGTCAAGGTCGCATCAACAATTGAAAGAGAGTTGAAGCAACATTTTGGTTTCCAGGTAATATCATTTGAAATATTTGTCCAACATTTACCAAGTAGCTTGAGAATATCCCTATGAAAGAACACGAGATCTCTGTTGGATAGATATAGGGTCACTACGTTAAAGGTCAATGTCACGGACACAGTATCTTTTTCTACCATTTGACACAATGTCAGCAGACTTTAGTCTTCACCAAAACCAAACACAAATAAGTACATTTGATTTTATCCTTCCACTACAAATATTGCAACTTGGCTAATGCACCCATGGTGCTTTTGTATTTTATAAATGCACCCGTCAGGCTGACAGAAACCCCCGCCCCGAATAAAAGTTATTGTTTCCTATTGATAAGTTTTTATACGACCGCAAAAAGATTTTTTTGGTCTTATATTGGTATGACGTTGGCGTCGTTGTCCGGCGTCGTCCGAAGACACATTGGTTTTCGCACTCTAACTTTAGTTTAAGTGCATGGATCTCTATGAAATTTTACCACAAGGTTCAATACCACAAAAGGAAGGTTGATTGATTTTGGGGGTTATGGTACCAACAATAAAGGAATTAGGGGCCAAAAATAAGCATTTTTGTAACTTCCAGACATAACTTGTGTGTAAGTGTATGGATCTCTCTGACATTGTACCACAAGGTTCCATATCACAAAAGGAATGCTGGGATTGATTTCGAGGGTAATTGCTTCAAAATTTTAGGAATTAGGGGCCAAAAAAGGGGCAAAAAACAAGCATTTTTCTAGTTTCATGACAATAACTTGTGTGGAAGTGTATGGATCTTTCTGAAATTGTACTACAAGGTTCCATATCACAAAGGGAAAACTGGAATTGAGTTTGGGGGTAATTGCCGAAACGTTTAGGAATTGGGGGCCAAAAAGGGGCCAAAAATAAGCATTTTTCTAGTTTCCAGACAATAACTTGTGTTCAAGTGTATGGATCTCTCTGAAATTGTACTGCAAGGTACCATACCATAAAGGGAAGGCTGGGATTGATGATGGGGGTAATTGCCTCAATATTTTAGGGCAAAAAACAAGCATTTTTCTAGTTTCAGGACAATAACTTGTGTGTGAGTGTATGGATCTTTCTGAAATTGTACTACAAGGTTCCATATCACAAAGGGAAAGCTGGGTTTGAGTTTGGGGGTAATTGCCCTAAACGTTTAGGTATTTAGGGCCAAAAAGGGGCAAAAAAACACATTTTTCTAGTTTCCAGACAATAACTTGTGTTCAAGTGTATGGATCTCTCTGAAATTGTACTGCAAGGTACCATACTACAAAGGGAAGGCTGGGATTGAGTTTGGGGGTGATGAATCATAAGGGGGTTCAAACAATTTTGGGGGGGGGGGGGATTTTTTTTTTTTCCTTTTTTTTAAGTTGGTTATTTCTGATTTATATTTAAAAGCAAATAATAATGATATGGTAGGAGATACACACCAAACAGGATGTGTAAATTATTATATAATAAGTATTGTGCAATAGCAAGAAATTTTCAATTGCACAGTATTGCACAATAGCAAGAAATCTTCAATTGCACAGTATTGCGCAATAGCAAGAAATCTTCAATTGCACAGTACTGCGCAATAGCAAGAAATATCCAATAGCACAATGTTGCGCAATAGCAAGAAATTGACAATTGTACAGTATTGCGCAATAGCAAGAAATATTTAATTGCACAGTATTGTGCAAAAGAAGATACTTCGTATAAATTGCTTATTTCTTGACAAATTTCAATGGGGTTTTATTCTTGAATTCTTGGGGTTCTTTAATATGCTGAATCTAACCGTGTATTTAGTTTTTTGGATTTTGGGCCCCGTTTTTAAATTGGTCCACATTGAGGTCCAAAAGTCCAAAATTAAACTTTGTTTGATTTCATCAAAAATTGAATTATTGGGGTTCTTTGATATGCCGAATCTAACCGTGTATTTAGATTCTTAATTTTTGGTTCCGTTTTCAAATTGGTCTACATTAAGGTCCAAAGGGTCCAAAATTAAACTTAGTTTGATTTTAACAAAAATTGAATTCTTAGGGTTCTTTGATATGCTGAATCTAAACATGTATTTAGATTTTTGATTATGGGCCCAGTTTTCAAGTTGGTCCAAATCGGGGTCCAAAATTAAACTTTGTTTGATTTCATCAAAAATTGAATTCTTGGGGTTCTTTGATATGCTGAATCTAACCATGTTTTTAGATTTTGGATATTGGACCATAATAGGTGAATGTCCAATTTAAAATTTTTAAGTTCTTAGACCACATACATTCTGTGTCAGAAACCTATGCTGTGTCAAATATTTAATCACAATCCAAATGCAAAGCTGTATCAAGCTTGAATGTTGTGTCCATACTTGCCCCAACTGTTCAGGGTTCGACCTCTGCGGTCGTATCAAGCTGCGCCCTGCGGAGCATTTTATTGTTTCTGAAATAAAGTACAGTGACCCATTTTTGACTCGCCTACGACGAAAGTCGGAGTATTCGAGACATAGGCATTACTATCCGACGGCGTAAACTATTTGTATAAAGCTTTATATTTTCGAAGGTAGAAGACCTGTATGCTACATACATTGAATGCAGATACCTTATGTTACGAAGTTTCTGTCTGTCATATGTCCATTGTTCTTGACCTCATTTTCATGGTTCATCAACAGCTTGAGGAAAAACAAGTTTTCTTTGTCATGTCAATTTCTCACTTATTATGAGTAGTAGGATAACTGTATTTGGTATATGGGTTTTTTGCAACGTCTACATGTTCGTCAGACAGGGTTCACCTGACCTTGACCTCATTTCATGGATCAGTGATCAAAGTTAAAGCTACGTGATTAGATCCATTTCTCAGATACTATAAGCAGCAGGTCAACTATATGTGGTGTAAGGATACACGACAGTCCGACATTTTCATCATACCTTGACCTCATTTTCAGGTTCATTGGTCAACGTTAAGTCTGTGTGTTTTGGTCTGTTTTTCAAATGCTAATAGCAATAGGTCATCCCTATTTATCGTGTGGAATATTTTTAAGGTTTTACATGTCTGTATGTCAGGTTTCATCTGACCTTGGCCTCATTTTCATGGTTCATTGGTCAATGTTAAGTTTTTGTGTTTTGGTCTGTTTTACAATAACCATAAGCAATAGGTCAACTATATTTGATGTATATGTCTGTCTGACAGGATTTATCTGACCTTGACCTCATTGTCATGGATCTTTTAAAATGTTAA